ACAGACAGACAGACAGACAGACAGACAGACAGACAGACAGACAGACAGACAGACAAACAGACAGACATACAGAGAAGGAGGGAGAGGGAGTGGTGAGCCGAGGGGGGGTGGTAGAGGTTAGGGGGTGGGAGTTGAAATAAAAGTAATTAATAGTGGAAGAGTAATTCTTTTACCGAACAAAAGTTGAAAGCGATGTCAGCAAAGTAGAGTAAGAGCTATAGCTTGCAAAGCTTCCGTCAACATGGGTACGTTTTGTCCTCGTCTGTAAAAGTTTCCCGCCCTGCTGGCGGAAGGGCTTAGTCCTCCATAAAGAGACTGGCTTGGGGGTTGGGGGGGGGGGGGGCGACAAAATTCCTGGGCGTACGAGAAGAGGGCCTTCTCAGACCAAACTGGGGTTCGAATATTAAAGATTTTCTCGTGGCCTAGAGGTTAAGGCGTTCACCTCAGATTCAGAGGTCCCGGGTTCGACTCCGGCTAGCGACGAAAAAAAATTCTTCTCTAAAATTGTCTCCTCCTTTCCCTGTCTCTAGCAATGTTCTGTCGTCTGCTTTCGTCTCCATTTTCTGCCCTCACCCCCTCATCTCCTTTGCCCCCTCCTCTGGGCTCCTGACTCTTTCTGTAGCCTTTCTACTGCTACTGCTTGATTCCTCCCTACTGCTGTCTATCACACTTTCAGCCACACTCCTGATCTTATGGTAGGAAAGATCTACTCCTAGCCTTCTCGGACAAGAGGAAATGATCTCACAGGTCCCGTGTGCAAGTTGCGCAGGTTAAAGATCTCTTGGTGGTCTAACATCGATAATAGTAGGCTTTGGCCTCCACTCGGGCAAAATTCAAAATTTCCACTAACTGAGAATATTTAATGTGTCCTGCGCGCTCATATGACTTTATGCAGTTGCGAGCGCCGCTAAAAAACACTTACCAAAAAAAATTCTCTTCTGTTGGTACGTAACTAACCTAGTCAGACTATTGATTTTTTACTTCCTCTAAAATATGTTCTGTATCAAAGATTAGTTCTAACCGCTCTGTATCTAGACAGGGTGTCTGTAAGAGAAAAAATGACCTATCTAGAGGGCAATAACTTGGTCACATTTGCAATCATTTTAACAAAACTTCGAACAAATAAATTTCAACCAAGGAGGCGTCAAATGTATTCAGTTCATGAAAAAATAAATCTACCTACCTGTTTGAGAATAATCAAATTTTTTAAATTTCCTATCAAAATTCGGGAAAAGTAGAACTTTACTTTTTAAAAGCGTTTATCTTCAGGGACTTGATCAGCCCGTTCTGGTACCAGGAAGAGGTAAAAAAGTTGCAGAAATTTGGGGAGGGGTAGGTACTATGCTGTTGAATCTTAAGCTTCAAGAGCGGCCCTTGTATGGTTGCAAGAAAGGTTTGGGAAACAAACTATAAGCCAAAATCTGACGAACAATAATATAAATTTGTTCTTCAGTGCACAAATATACAATAATTGGTTAATTTTTAAGAAGCTGCGTAGTTGTCCGTCTCACTCAGTTTTTGTAGAAATTTTTTGAACTTATTGTGATAATTTTCGAACACGGAATTTGATTTTCTTCGTATTGACAAATGTGACATCCCCGTGGTTGAATTTTATTTCTTCAAGATATTACTGAAATAAGAGAAAAAAATGACTGAATTATTGCCTTTTAAATGGATCATCATTTATGTCGACACCCAGTAAGTGTGACTGATTATAAATTCCAAACACGACCTCCCCCCCCCCTCCTCTGCCCATCACGAATTCAGCTCCTACAATAGGCAGGTTGCTTCGGTTTCGGGACTTAAAAGAAAGAGACATGAGGTGAATGGGGTACACAATACAATGGAAAGAAAAGAGGGCATGTGGGATATACCAGAGACTGTAAGAAGAATCGAAAGGAAAGGCAGATAAGAAAAATTAGAAGGAGGAAGGAAGGGAATGAGGCAGATGAGAATCAGATACATCTAAAGGAAGGGAATGAGGTAAATGAGAATCAGATACATCTAAAGGAAGGGAATGAGGTAAATGAGAATCAGATACATCAAAAGGAAGGAAAGAAAGTAGTGAGATAAACCAATCGAGAAACAAGGAAAGAGAGCAACTGAAATACGCCAGACGGGGGGAGAAAGAAATTAAGGCAAATTAAAGTATAATATTATTATGTTTTAGTTCTAATACCCTTGTTCAGGTGTACGACCTTGCTTGGAATGTTTGCATCTAAGACTACTAAGAAGTGGAAAGGTGGGGGGGGGGAGGGGGAGGGGGAGTAAATCGGTAAATCCCAGAGCGAGAAACGTAACAATAATAGCTTACTTCATGAAACCGATCGAACCGGGGTTGAAGTTGAGAGTAAAGAAAAGCACTGTAACAAAAGGTTTTGTTAAAGAAACCCTGAGTTCATATTAAATAAATGGGAAAAATATCGTCCTTTTTACCTGCTCAAACGTTTTCCAGTTCTTTTCTTTTTCGAACGTGCCGAAAACAAGATCTTTGCCTCCATCGTCGAACCAACGCCGCAAGACATTTGCCTTTTTCCAGTTAGGATTCACCCTCAGTGGGCTCTCCACTCCCACTGAAAGGGACTTGCCTTCATAAGATGAAACTCTAGCTCTTTTCACAGCCACCACAGGGCAGTTCTTGCCATTAAACGTCACTGCTGTCTCTCCCCACAAGGTCAGATTGACGGCCATCTTGGACCCATCCACGATCTGGAGGTCTCGCTTCTTGTTTTCCTTCTTCGACTGCTTGGCAGGCAGTGTGACAACGTCGTGGCACTCTTTGACTACACCAATAACGTCTACAAGGGAGTCGGGCTTACATTTCTCCAACTCAGATATCTTCACAAAGTCAAAGGTCATAAATGGCACAGTATCATCATCACGACAAATATCAATCCTTGTCGTACGGTCTATTCTCATCTCGTACTTGTTTTTCACAGTGGCATATTTTGGGTTCGTCTTCTGCAGTCTGGCGTTGGAAATTTGATACACTTCGTCAACCCTGAGTACGTTAAAGTATCGGTCTGCCTGTTGATTGAATCCAGAGCAACAAATTTCTCCACTGTCATCCAAAAAAATAACTTTGAAGAACTTGCCCGGACCCGTGTCATTGCTATAGTGCTGCATGTCGGATATGTGGATCACCCGAGCCCGAATGCACCATCCTCTCATGCTAGGATCGAGGCTTGCGATCAAAGAACGGCTACCCTCCACCTGACATTGAGAAAAAAGAAAATCCTGGAAGTTTGAGTGGTGTCGAAGGTTGGGGGAAAATGTGGTTGTTTAGGGGTTGTTGTTTTTAGTTTTGTTATTTGTGTGTGTATGTGT